ATCTCAGAGATAACTTCATCAAAATCTATATTTTTTATTGCGTCGTGTTCGATGGCTAATATACCAAGATTGCTAAGCCACAATTGGGACATTGTTGCCCACAAATAGTTTTTTATTAATTTTAGGTTACTGAAACTCCTTTCACATGAAGCTACGGACACTCAAACTGTCATGAACAATTTTAGTGCAAAAATAAGATTTGGAACAGATTCTGTAAAATCCCATTCTACAATAAACTTTAAAAAATCTAGAGATACCCAATCAGATACTGTAACGTTAGCGGCTTCGCCGTCTTAGTATATCCAAAAGTAATTCTGTTTCTGAGACCTCATCATAAAAATCAGTAAATTTGAATGTAACTAATTTCATTTCTTCAGTATTCGCCAAAAGCAAAGTACATATTTCTTCGTACGATCTCAAACAATGAAGCTGGGTCTTGACGAGACTTCGATCTGGTCTGGAGTTCAACCCTGAAAAAGTTGAGTCACCGGTTGGGTCTCACCCCAAAAAAGGTGACACCCGGTGCGGCCCGCCCTCGCCGCCTCTTTGCGACGCCATTGACCAGATATGTGCAAACAAGCTGCTCAGGAGCAATCTCCAACATACTATTGCTGCTAACATCTGCCATCTTGACAGCACTATTTTAAAAACTTGTTAAAAGTGCAATGGTTCTCGTATAAGCTCCTCACTTCGAAATATTAACATCGCTTTCTTCTATAAATCAAGATGTCCTTTTACTTCCCACGCCTACTGGCGAGGAGGTATTGTAATCGTTAAAAAATTAAAGAAGATATATTTTTTGGATGTTGTATGACATTTGCATCACCAAAAATCATGTCAGTCATTTCAGTCGGTATGTTTGTCTTTGTCTGTCTGTCGATATGTCCGCTAAACATTGGCCCATCTACAACTTGGTCGGATTTCGTGGGAATTTCACATAAGGTTACTATTATGCCAAGGACGGAAAAAGCTTTGTTGTTTTGGGAAATTGGTCCAGTGGCTCCGGAGAAAAATGCCAAAAATGAAAATACAAAAATAGCTCAAACTTCAGCTTTTGATATTTCAGAGGGTCCTAAACATTTTTGAAAACCGTTTCAGGGGTAAAAAACGAGGGGAACTGGTGGTAGGTCAGAGAATATCGCAAGATTTCACACATTATAGATTCCCCCGGACATTTGCCCTCAAGGCCGTACGTCCCTTTTTTAGCTTTTTTTTCAACTACCTGTTTGCAACAGTAACCTAAGCCTTTTCATCTGATCACTTCATGATGTGTATAGAGATGACTAAAAAATATCGTTTTTAAATTTGTTTTGTCATAAAATGCATTTTTTGTGCATTTTATTGTGGATTCATTCCCCGATCGTAACTTGTTAACAAATATTAGTCCAGCTCGGAAAGTGTACGTGAATATTCCACTTTTATGGATGAATGAAACAAGTGATTACTTTATTCTTATCACTTTTTCTCTTCGAAAAATCTTTGCTTCTCTCAAAAACTCAACTTGCTGAGAGACGAGGCTCCAAGAAAATCAAAGATTTTTCGAAAAGGGAAAGTGATAAGAACAAAAGTAATCGCTAGTTTCATTCTTCCATAAAAGAGGAATATTCACACAGAATTTCAGAGCTGTTCTTATATTTCTTAGCACGTTCCGATTGAAGAAAAAATGCACAATAAAATGCACGAAAAATGCATTTTTTACAAAAAAATGAAAACATTGTTTTTTAGTCATCTCTATACACACCATGAAATTATCAGATGAAAAGAATTTAGAATACTGCTGCAAAAAGGTAGTTGAACAAAAATCTAAAAAAGGGACGTGCCACCTTTAAGCTTGGAACTGTAGAAGAAAATGTGGGTGCTCTGCTGCACCTGACTCATCGTTTCTTCAGATATTGGCGACGCGACGTTGCCAGATGAATGGTGCTACTGGTAGGTCAGGGAAGGAATTCTATGGAATAATTGTATGGACCTGGTTGACGGACTTGATTCGTTTGATTTTTCTGTTATACATTTTCGTAGCTAAAGTTTTTCTTAGGGGGTCCAACTTACACGTGCTACTTTCGTCCGTCCAACCAAAGACAGCCGACCACAGACAGCTGTTTAGTGTTTTTTTGGCACTTTATCAGCTATTCTCTATCCAGGATATAAGGTCTATGCAGCTGCATATACAGTGAGGTTCAAACTTGGGGGACGTCGTAATGTGTACGAGAGAGAAGCGAGCAATATGTATGCTAGAAAGAGTACGCCTCTGGCAACCGTGACCTCGTACTCGGGTTGCCAGGCAACGATAATGCTTCTAACTCTTTCTAACACACGTATTGCACGCTTCTCGTGCTTTTCTCTCGTACAGATTACGACGTCAATGGAATTTGGTTTTCAGTGTAGGTATATAGGATGTTTCAGTTTATTGTTGCATAACTTTAAGATTCGATAGAACTTTTAAAATTAATGCATAAAGTCTATATAAACATGGGTCGAAAAATGCGTGGCTTCCGAAATACAGGGTGTTTAAATTTAGTTTCTAAAATAGTTTTTTTTAAACATTTCGAACAATATTTGATGTATAATAGTGAAAATTAGTATACAAAGATTTTTTGATACGAAAAAACGAACCATGGGCATAGTTTTACTGTAGCCGCTAGACGGCGCTCTCTACTGTACCTGCAGTGTATTAAAATGACCGAAAATTTTTCTTAGAGCAATTTTTTGCTTTTTGAATAAAAAAACTGATTCTTCGCACTTTTCAACATAAAAAAGCTCTCTTAACGTTAAAAAGTCAGTGTCTCGATAATTTTTAGAAGTAGGCTGTACCTGCAAATATTTTTGAAATTGAAAGCAGAATAAGGTTAAACGTCAATTAGTTGACAGTTAGTTTTGTTGTCTGAAACGTTTTTTTGTAATTGTTAATGCACGAAATTTAGTTTCTTTTACCTGTTTTTTTTGTAAGTTTTATAAAAATGCCATTTTTATTCTCCAATCAAGAGTTAGCGGATATTCATTTTGTGTATGGCTTTGTAAATGGAAACGCAGCAGAAGCAGCCAGAGAATACGCACGAAGATTTCCAAACAGACGACAGACGACATCCAACTCGCTCAGTATTTGTAATAGTGCATCGCCAAATAATTAAAAATGGTTTTGGAAATCTCCAAAGGAATCAAAACATAAATGTTCGTCAGCGCAGATTTACCCGTATGATTCTGCGTGAGTTTGTTAGAGATCCGACCACAAGTGTTAGGAGAGTTTCTGGTGCCTTGGGAATTTCAGCAAGCCATGTTCACCGTGTTCTTAGAAATGACCATAGACGTCCTTACCATTTGCAACCTGTGCAAGGACTACAGCCAGGGGACGGAGAACGAAGAATCACATTTTGTCAGTGGATTCTTGACAGAACTGATAATAATAGGGAGTTTTTAAGTAACGTTTTATGAACCGATGAGTCATGCTTCACTAGACGTGGAGTGGTAAATTTTCATAATCAACATATTTGGTCGCGACCTTCTTGGAATTTTTAAAGGCTGAACATGCAAATATGTGGGATGATGTTATGTTAGATTTAAGAAGATTGGCCTGGTTCCAGCTTGATGATTGTCCAGCTCATTATTCGAGAATAGTTAGAAACTGGCTGGACCAAAATTATCCAGAAAGATGGATCGACCAGTCGCCTGGCCTCCACGATCCTCTGACCTAAATCCATTAGATTTCTTTGTGTGGGGATTTCTAAAAGAAAAAGTGCACCAGACTCCCGTAACCACAAGAGATATGCCAATAGACAGAATCAGGAACGCATGTGATGAAATAAGGCCTTATTTGAATAATGCTATACCACGTTCGATCATTCGTAGATGTGAATTGTGTATTGAACAATTGGGTTTACATTTTGAGCAACTACTTACTAACTAGATTTTGTATGTTTGTCCTAACTATCCAATAGCATTTTAGTTGTAAATAATTAATTTAATTTGTTGAAAATAATATTGGAAAATTAAAAAAAATTAATATTCAGTTTTTTTGTGTTTATTTGGAGTTAGGAATTATTGCTGTGTTTAAAAACACAATCTAAACGATCATCTTAATTACTTGTAATGCCCAAATCGAAAATGTAAAAAAATATTATTTTCCCATAAATAATTAAAAATGCATCGAACCTTAAAAATCGAAATATCTCAAAAACGGCTAACTATAACGAAAACTCACAGGAGAGCTTTTTTATGTTGAAAAGTGCGAAGAATCAGTTTTTTCATTTAAAAAAGCAAAAAATTGCACTAAGAAAATTTTTTCGGTCACTTTAATACACTAGAGGTACAGTAGAGAGCGCCCTCTAGCGGCTACAGTAAAACTATGCCCATGGTTCGTTTTGTCGTATCAAAAAACCCTTGTATACCAATTTTCACTATTATACATCAAATATTGTTCGAAATATTTAAAAAAAACTATTTTAAAAAGTAAATTTAAACACCCTGTATTTCGGAAGCCACGCATTTTTCGACCCATGTCTATATAGACTTTATGCATTAATTTTAGAAGTTCTATCGAAACTTAAAGTTATGCAACAATAAACTGAAACACCCTGTATAATTGATATGTTCAGCTCGGTGAACTGTTAAAGCTCCTCTAAGGATGCCACTATTGAGATGACAAATATCTCTGCTTGGAAGAATGTTGTGAACCTTCCAAGCGCTAAGAGCCTTTGCCTTCCAGGTATATTCCCGCCCTACTGGACCCGTTGAAACTTCTTAGTTGGTTCTGCCGCACCCCGTACGTATTCTTTCGTTTATTTCATTAACAATTATCAGTTACCGTACCTAAAAGCAGTACGTGATAGAAAAAAGAACGTGTATTGAGCAATGTGTATGCATAAATGAACCGTCAACATTTATGTGGGTGCTTAGTTTCTTTAGTGATTTGTAACGCAGTCATAATCACCCTACCAAGATCCTTCATTGTCATCAGCACCTTAATATTTGCAATGTTATATCACAAAGCAGTCCGTTCTCACCGACTGCTATAAATCGTCTCTAACGAAATAAAATGAGGTGGCGCGTTTTCATTCGGACGCCCGATTGTTGCTCGACTTGGACTCCATGTTTATGCCGCTGCTGGCGAGCGCGTAGTTTCCCGACCCTCTGAACCTTTTGAAGCACTTGAATAGATTCAGGAAGGCCTTCTTGAAGCTGCTGTTCATGAAACAGTACGTGATCGGGTTGCAGCAGCTTGACGTGTAGGCTAGCAGTTGGAAAAAACCTGGAAAGAAAAAGAGAGCTTCTGATGGATTCGTTCTTTTTTCAGATCACTCATCGATATATACGAGGAGGTACCCAAAAATAACCGGAATGGCATTGCAGTGGGCGGAGCTTGTGTACTACACATTTCTGCCCCTAGAGGCGTACAGCGCAACTCATTACCAGTTCAGTGCCACCTGAGTTATCGATTTGGCTGGTTTCGTTCCTCTGTAGTCATTATTTTTGCTACAGCTGTGTCGTGCTTGTTTCGTTTTTTACGATGGCAACCTTCACTGGGCAACGTGCAGCCATGAAATTTTGCTTTCTAATTGCTAAAAACGCTGCTGAAACTGTTTTAGTGTTGAAAATAGCTTACAAAGATGATGCTATGGGAAAAACTCAGGTGTATTAGTGCTTTGCTCGATTTAAAAATGGCGACATGTCGATCGATGACAAACCTCGCTCTGGACGTCCATCAACAGACCGTCGACTGATAATCGATCAAGTATCCGTAAGTAGTGGGTTGTCCTGAAGTTCGGTTCAGCGAATTTTAACAGAAGATTTGGGAATGAAAAGGGTTGCTGTTCAGTTTGTTCCTCGGGGAGTGACTGTCAATAAAAAAGAATACCGAGTTGAAACATGTGCTTTGAAACAACAGCTTGAATCTGATCCAAATTTTCTGTCAAACATCATCACTGGTGATGAGACCTGGTGCTATGGACAACGAGCAATGGAGTGAATTTCTGGCGGGAATGCTTGATTCAAGTATTCCTCTCTGGAGGGTTGCAAAGTCACTCAGAAACGGAAAGCGAGAACAACTCCCGCACATCCACGGTCCTGAAGGCATAGTCTTCAGAACGGAGGATAAGGTCGAGGTTTTTGGTGATGCTATGGAAAAACAGTTCTCTCCCAACTATGATCTTGATAATGACCTCGACGAGGAACAGCATATCGTATGATCCGTTAGGAGATATTTTAGGGCCAACGGCGTTAGCGGAGGCACTGAATTCTCTTCAGATGACTCTTCTTCAGAAGATGCGGAAAGCACCCTTATAGGATCAAATCACCAACAAGGCGTTGAAGCTGCTCTCGCCGAAAGCCTTGACATATTTGGTGACAATAATCAATGCGACGCTCAGAATCCAGTACTTTCCTGCTGGGTGGAAGACTGCTGAGGTCATCATGATTCCAAAGAAGGTGGGTTCGATTTTACCTCAGGATTACCGTCCCATAAGTCTGCTGTCAGCTCCTTCTAAGCGCGCCGAAAAGGTGATTTATCGTCACTTTGAGAATTTTTCGTCAATTTACCATGTGATTCCTGACGTTCAATTCGGTTTTCTGTCCGAGCATAGCACCGAGCTACAGTCAGTCAGGCTGGTGGAACATGTAACCAGAGGGTTCACTCTCAGCATGAGTACTGGCATCTTGCTTTTGGATCACTCAAAAGCCTTTGAAAAGGCGTGGCATGCGTGCCTCCTTTATAAACTAATCAAAAAGGGCTTTCCTTTTTGGGTTCTAAAATTACTGAAATCCTGTCTTGAAGGAAGGAAGTTTCGGGTCAAAATTAACAATGTTTTGTCAACAACACGGCCAATACGGGCCGGTGTTCCTCAGGGTTCGGTCCTAGGACCAATCCTTTATTTGCTTTTTATCCATGATGTCCCTTGCCCCAGCAACTGAGAAGTCGCAGGCTATTTATTGTACCAAAAAACGTCGCGCCTCCCAGCAGAGGTATCTGTAGACGGCAATTGTGTACCATGGATAAATTCTGCCAAGTACCTCGGTGTCACCCTTGATAAAGGCATGACCTGGCAGAAACATACAGCAGTCTTGAAAAAAAAATTCCAAATTGCGTTTCGGCAACTATATCCTTTGTTATGTAGATCCTCCAAATTGAGTTTGATAAACAAAGTTCGCCTATATAAAATGATTATTAGATCAACCATTACTTATGCATGTGCGGCTTGGTGTTTTCTTGCCAAGACACATATGCAAAGTCTTCAAGTACTGCAAAGTAGAACTTTGCGAACAATTTGCAACGCTCCATGGTATGTCTCAAACGAGACACTACACAGAGACCTTGACATTCCTTACTTGAGGGATTATGTCAAACTTCAGGCGCAGCGACGATATAGTCAAGCGGAATCGCACACCAACCCTCAAGTGCGCGACTCAGTGGACTACACAGTGGAGCCAGTTCGTAAACATTCAAGGCCACGGCTCGCACTGTAATCAAAAATTAGCGCGAACTTTTAGTACACTTAAAATTACACTCTAACAAAATTGAATCAAAAATTTGCTTAGTTCACCTCAAAATTAATCCATGTACCAAGTCAAAAAGCCTAGGTGTCTTCTCTTAAACTAAACACTTCTGTTTTTCTTTGTTCTTCTCCATTTTTATTCTCTTTCCCTTTCTCCTTTTTCCTTGGCATTGTCTGGTTTCTGGGCAAGCAGTACTGACAGATTCGACTAACGTACATTAGACAGTGACTAATGGGCAAAGGTCCTACGGACCGCCGAGACAAACAAATGACGAATAGTAGTAGTCAAATCAAACATCAAAACAATGCTGATTTGTATTTTTGATGTCAAAGGCGTAGTCCATTCCGAGTTTGTTTCTCCAGGTCACACTGTCAATCAGACCTTTTATTTGGAGGTTTTAGAGCGATTGCGTAACAGTGTTTGGCAAAAAAGTCCCGATTTGTGACAGTCAGGAGACTGGTTCTTCCACCACGATAATGCACCTGCGCACACAGCTATCTCTGTTCGACACTTTCTGGCATGGTTCCGTTGCCTCACGCAGCTTATTCGCCTGACCTGGCTTCGTGCGACTTCTTATTTCCACGGATGAAAAGGGACATTAAAGGACGTCGCTTTGACGACATTGAAGAGGTCAAAAAAAAACCACAGAGGAGCTGTCAGACATTTCTAAGGAAGACTTCAAAAAATGTTTTGAGCAGTGGAAGCACCGGTGGGACAAGTGTATTAGTTGTAGTGGACAGTATTTTGAAAGAGTTGAAAATAAATAGCTTTTAAAAAATAATTCCGGTTTTTTGTGGGTACCCGCCTCGTATGTAAGATTTTTTATAACCCTTAGGAAATTCAAGCAGCATTCCTTGTAATCTGAGAGCAATAATTATGTTGGTAGCTGACAAAACCTCAATGTAATGAAGTCAAACATTTTTGACTACGCCCAAAAATTTAAGAAATAGGGAAACTATGTTTGAGGAATGTCTGTAATTCTTTGTTCACTAGACCAATTTTTAAAACCTCCAAATCTTTTCCGTCCTCGGTAGAGTATCAACCTTGCGAGGACCAAGGGCGAAGTATTTTATGACGTCTTATTATAATTGTGTTTTGATTTAATTCAACTTTTGCTTTTAATGTGAATATTTTTAAATATGGTTTGTACTTAAGTTCTATTTTAGATTTGAAATAGCAAATTTTGCGACCATGTGCTCATATAGAAGTGGAATATTCGGAAATGGGTGGTTTGGACAAAAATGACAACACTGCGAACTTTGGGATTTTGAAAAACAATCAAGTATTAAAGTAAAAAGAAATATGTTAATGGAAGCTAAAATGCATACATGTATGTCCAAAAATGTTGTGATGCAAAGATTCCTTAGATTCACCAAATTTCCACAAAATCGGCTAAAGGATGGTTCACAAAAAAAACTGTTCATACGTTGAAACCCTTTAACTTGAACATTAATTATCATCAAACTTGTTTTGATATGAAGTTTCCTAATACATGCAAAGATTTATTGACTACTCCCTACAGTTGACTTGTTCTCTTCAAAGCATTGTATATGAATTGTGACACAAAAACGAATTTTGAAACGGTCTGAAAAATCAAATTCAGTGCAATCCAAAGATCCACACGAAGACCGTATGGGAGAAATGACTGATTTTCGTGATATAGGCGACATGAAACATGTAAAAAATGCTTCCTTCACTTATGCGTGGAAAGCAGTGGCGAATATAAGGTTATGCAAGAGTACTGATCACATTCGGAGCAAATTTTGCAAATAAGCAAGGAATTCGCACTTTTAAGTTTGGAAATTGGGATACTTTGGAGCTGAAGGCTACCAAAATTTCGATTTCAATATTTTAACGGTGTAAAAGTATTTGTTATACGTCCAAATGTTGGGTTCTGGATTAAAAAAAATAGATCCAGAAACGGACCCAAAAATACTGTACTTATTATCTTTTTGTGCATGTTTTTCTGAGCTCGAAGATTGCATACGCCAACATTTAAAACCTCAATATTCATCTCATATTGTATGGAGAGACATACATGGGTATTTGGGCTACAAAATATAGTGAAAGAAACGTTATTTTGCCTATAATCCCTCATTTTTCTGTACCCAATCAAAACCTCATGTATTGGAAAACATCTGTTCTGCATGGGTTTTCTCGTTTCTATTTGAGAGATTTTGGAGTCTTCGGAACGATGGACGAGGGTGGCGTATCGTGCCATCTTATAATTACACTATTATAGTAACTCATTGTATAGGAATATGGAAATGAAAATAAAATACAAACGAGGTGTCACCAGAAAGACAGATAAATGAAATATATTATCAAAGTCATTGTACTGAAAAGGGTCACCTTTAAGACCGGAACGTTTACAATGAAAAAGATGTTTTCAACACATGTGGTTTCGATCGGCTAGAGAAATATCGGGGAAAATCGACATGAAAATCACAGGATGAGTTTCAGATGTTACGTTATTATCGTTTACTTTTAATTTTGGAACATTTTTAAAAATATTGATGCCTCAAAAATATCTGTATTTAACAAACAAGAATTTTAAAAAAGGTGTGAGGTTTACAGAAAAAGTTAGGGAACAACCTGAAGCATCTTTTGCTTTTTGCTCATAATGTCGTCGTCATCGCATGGATTTTAGAAAATGCTCGTGGGTCTCAATCTCCACCTCGAAACTTAATTTTGACTCATTGCTGTTGTGCTTGTCTGTATACAGGGTGTTTCTTACATGAACCAACAAAAAAATATGGGTAATTGTGTACGTTATTTGATGATTTTTGGTGGAAACCGTAATGCTCTAAGGGCTACGGTTTCCGAGATACCTATGATTTTTTTCGTTTTTTTTTGCTGAATTAGCTACAATGGCGCAGAACTATCGTGATAACTATTTTGTTTGTCGAGATAATTACACAAGATGAACTCGAGTCGACTCTATATAGCATACTGAATCAGCTGAGATCAATGGTTTGTACAAAGCTTTTCCATTATATCACTTATGACCTTCCAAAGTCGTAAAATAGCGCGGAGTGAATAAGCAACTTTAAATTAAAAATTCGATTACAAAAAAACTATATCTCTGGTGATACTTAGTTTTATTCCAAAAAGTTTCGTGTTTCTTTGCCTTTCCAACGATATGCTACACATCATAGGAATAAATTGTTTATTGGTCAAAATTACAGGAAATAATGTGTCGAGCTAATGATTTTTTGAGCGATTTATACATTTTTATGTAATTTGAACCAGTCTTTTCGAAATGACTGCCTCCACTTGTTGAGAATAATGAAGTTAGCAAGGGCCCAGCAGTACACAGATTAGGAACACCTCTTATGCAGGTGGATTTGAAGTTAATGACATCCGATACCTGGATTACCATTAGGGTATTAATGACATTAATGTCTAATCCCACAACCTGACAGGTGTGTATTCCAGGTATCGCAGCTCATTAATTTCAGATAAACTTGCCCGTGTTCGATTCCTAAGCTAATCTGATAATAAAATTTCAATTACGATCCTCATCATCTCATAGATAAAAGAGTGCATTACGAAATAGGGCTAATCGAGCTTTGACTATCTCTCATACCAAAAGTGTATTTGCGTTTGATTTTGTTGACTCTGATTTTTTTATAGGTAGTGTTTTCACCGTTATTATTAAGTTTCATTGTTGTCATTATTGCCGAGGTTCAGTAACGAGGAATATGCTGATATGTTGCTGACTTATTGCAGTGCTAACTGAGGGAACAGTATAATCAGCTGACGAATAACCATTATAATAAGCATATTGCGTCCCCTATTACAATGTGTATGACTGTATATGTTTACTGTGTCCCGCCAAAAACCCTGAAAAGGATACTAGGGTAGAAAAAACGCCCATTGACATATCGACGGAAACGGACGTTAGGTTTTTAGAGTATATAGAATGGTACGTACTAACTCCACTATACCCAACAGTCGAATACACGATCTGCGGGTCGAAGAGCGCCAAGGTGTTGATCACATACAGCGGAGTCCAACACACGAAGAACTCTAACACGACGGCGAACAGCATCTTGACCACCCGCTTCTTGTTGTTGAGGCTTCTCTCAGCGTTTGACCTCCTCAACAGTGGAGCGACCCTTTTGGTGGATGGAGGGCTGTTAGAGTCTGAAGAGCCGTTGTGGTGCAACCGAAGCCGGCTGGAGTGCCGGTAGTGGTCGCATGTGAAGCTGCGATTGGTGGAGCGACGGGTGGAGGCTCTGCCTTGTTGATTCACGTACAGGTTCACAGCTGGAAGAGAAGTTTGGAGATAGTAAAGAGTCTTGGGGTCACATTTACAGTCGTTCCTTGATGAGCGGGTGTCGCTTGAGAAATAATCTTCCTTTTGATTTTGAACAAACTATAACCATTTTTGAGGAACATTCAAGGGAAGATTTAACATTTGCATTACAGCTGGGTACATGGATGGTACAGGGTGGCCCATCCATGTTTGGACGGAATATTACTCATAAACATATACATTATGGGAAAATCTATTTATGGGATGTTATACATGACATTTGGCGGCACATTTTTAAAATATTGGCCTTTATACAGGGTGTCCCAATTACGACCTACATATCAAACGTGTGATTTTTCAAATGGAATGCCTCAAATTTTATTGCATATTTGGATGAACCAATTCAAAAGAAGAAGATGGATATTACATACTATGGAGTTTTGGTAATTAGCTACTGAAATATAAGGTGTCTAGAAAAACCCCCCACTTCGGCAACCCCTCAGTCCGCCATTTTTAAATTTGGAGTGCTGAATTTAATATCAAAAAACTTGCATACCTCAGCCTTTATCTTATTTGATACTTTTTCGATTTTTAATTTTTTTTTTCAAAACAGGGTGGTCACAAACGTAAATTAAGGTTTTTATCAAAAATTCCAAAAGCATCACCCTGTATATTTGTGCGAGTTTGGATTCAATTTTTTATAACCTTTTTTTGATACTGACACATAAGGGATTTTACGACTATTTTTTTCGGTTTTTAGCACGTCTTTTATGGAACGGCTTAATTCCCTATAATCGCATCATATTCAAATTCAAAATTCAAATTCAAAATACATTTATTTGCCCAAAAACAGAAACAAAAAAAAAACATTAAATTTACCGTATTATAGAAAATACACACACTTAATATTTTTGGCAAAAAGGACAAATCCTCGATCAAATCACCGTAACACCCAGCCTTACATAAGTAGGGTGGGTGTTACACTAATTTACACATATATTATAATATAAACAATATTTTGGAATTTAATGACTTCATTTATTATATGGGGTTGTCCAAAACGGATGCAGGAAAGTAAACGCATATTAAAACGAGAAAGATTGATATTCAAATCAAGTTGGGTACTTTATTTTGAAGGGTCATTTATACCATTTATGTATGAAAAACAATATCGCTCAAATGTTCACCACGACTGGATTTACAGTCGTCCACGCGATGGTCGAAATTTTCAATGACATTTTGCAACATGGTCGGTTCTATGGCATTTATCTCGGCAATGATGTTGTTTTTGAGTTCTTGGAGGGTGGCTGGTTTGTTGACGTAGACTTTGCTTTTCAAATATCCCCATAAAAAGAAGTCCAAGGGAGTCAAATCGCATGATCTTGGTGGCCATGGCACATTTCCTCTGCGCGAAATCACGCGATCACCGAAGAAGGACTGCAATCGATGGATATTGACGTTGGTTGTGTGGCATGTTGCACCGTCTTGTTGGAAATAAACATCGTCCATATCCATTCCTTCAAGTTGCGGTGAAAAATAGTCCTCTATCATCACGTGATATCGCTCAGAATTGACGGTAACGACGTCCCCGGCCGCATTTTCGAAAAAGTAAGGTCCGATGATGCCTTTTGACCACAATGCACACCACACAGTCACTTTTTGAGGATGCATCGGCTGCTCTTGATACTCACGGGGATTTTCGTTCGCCCAGATGCGGCAGTTTTGCTTGTTTACCGTCCCATTCAAAGTGAAATGCGCTTCGTCGCTGAACATGATTTTTGATGAAAAATTGGCATCAATTTGGCGGTGTTCAAGGAGCCAATGTGAGAACGTTCGGCGTGAAAAATGGTCGGCCCGACTCAGCTCTTGCGTCAATTGGATCTTGTAGGCGTGTACATTCAAATCCTTGTGGAGAATGCGGAGCAAACTGGTTCTCGAAATGCCCAATTCTTGGGATCGACGCGTTGTTGATTGTTTCGGATCGTCTCTCACACTCTCCTTCACAACAGCAATATTTTCCGGTGTGCGAACGCACCTTGGCCGGCCAGAGCCTGGCAGATTTGCCACAGAACCTGTTGCCTCGAATTTACGCACCAGACGACCGATGGTTGTTTCGTTTGGGCGGTTGTTGCGACCGAAATGTTCACGAAGCGCGCGAAACGTGTTTTTTATTTTTGCAACATTTTTGTAGTGCTCTTGAATAACTTTAATGCGGTCTTCAATCGAATACGACTCCATAGCGATCAATGGTAAACATTCAACTAACAAAATGACATGTCGGTGACAGAAAACAAAGATGGCGTCTATGTAAAATTGACGTTTACTTTCCTGCGTCCCTATTGGACAATATGATCATGGAGTTCGTTTTGGGCGAAGCCCAAAGAAATAGTTTCCTAGCATTTCGCATTTATAAGCGTGGAATATAGTAAAAAATGTATAAATAATCCAAGTGTCACCATGAGGCGAATCAGTTGGAGGTTCTATTAAAGTTGCAGGAAAATCACCATTTAAGTGCACGTCAGATTGGAGCAGAAACTGATATATGCAGAACTTCTGTCTAAAGGATTATTCACAAGCATTGGTACCATCCATATCACGTATGCTTGCATCAAGGTCTTCATCCTCAGGATTTCGCACCTCGAATGGAGCTTAGTAGAATATTGCTAAATAAAGTGAGTGAAGACACTACTTTCCTAGATAAGGTTCTTTTTAGCATAGGTGTTGTCAACAGGCATAACAGGCACTACTATGTGCTGGAAAACCCTTACTGGGCTAGGCAAATAGATTTCCAAAATAAATGGAGTTTGTATGTTTGGAGAGGAGCTATTGGCAGACAAGTTATCGGGCATTTATTTTTCGACAACAGATTAACAGGTACAGAATACTTGAATTTTTTGATGGTGCATTTGCCTTTGCTTTTGGAGGATGTCAACCTCCGAACTCGGATGCATACGTACTTCTAATATGACGGCGCACCTACGCATTATCATAATCGTGTGCGTAAGTACACTATAAAAGTTCTTTCACAAAGATATTTGATAAAAGAAGTTGGATAAGAAATGTGACTGTAATAGTCCAACTTTTATAAAAGGAAACTTTTATAAAAGGAAACCTTTATAAAAGTTCTTTTATCATATTTAGCCTCTTCATCCTATATTTGGTAAAAGATTTTGCGTAGTTTTGTCAAGATGGGGGAAAACAGATGGTATGTGGCGTACTGGAGGCTTGTGTAATGAATGAATGAATGAATCGTGAAATTAGAGGCAGTGCATAGGCCACTTGAACGGGCCCTTATGCATCTCTACATTCCTTAGATCTCAAGCCTCGCCTTTCTAGTGAAGTTGAGTATGGCCTTGACTCCAAGCTCCTTGACGTCCTGAGGGTCCAAAGGAGGCTAATGTAGCTGTCTCCGGTGGCTAGAAATCGCAAAGTCACCATGAGTCGCTCCTCAGTGCTGATGGGGCTTCGTAAATGTGTCATCCTCATCCATTCTCAAAAAGTTAACATAACTTCTCTGATCTTTCACTGCCAGTTCTTGGGCCAAGTTATTGTAGATCCTATTCTACTCACGGCGGGCGATCCGAAGTAAAACTAGCTATGGCAGCAATCTGACCGTCGTCGTCCTTAGCTGTATTTGCACCACCCTCATAAAATATTTTATAAAATCTTTTACGTAGTGTAGTAGGGCGTTTGGCAACCATAACATTTCTTTTATGTATAACTTTTACAAACGTGATTTATAAAAGATCTTTGTCAAAGAACTTTTATAGTCTAATGCCGGCCTACTATTTGGACACCTGGAGTAACAATCGTTGGATCGGCTATATCTTGGCCTCCTATATCACCAGATATGACACCGATGGACTTCTTTCTATGAGGCAAGAGGTTTATAGATATCCACCATCTACCCCGGAAAATATGAAGGAAATGGTTAAGGATGCTTTTCTGAACATACGGGAACACATGCTGAGGGATGTGCAACGGTCATTTATCCAAAGACTACGGCTGTGTATTCAACATGGTGGAGATATTTTCGGGCAGCTTTTGTAGATCAGATCTTGACTAGTGATATTTGTTTGTTTATGTTATTATAGTTGTTTTTCTCTATTACGCTTGAAGCTTATTTATACTGTTCTGATTGTTATTAGTTTTTACGTCAAATCTTTACTCATAGTGGCAATATGGAACTAGCCGACTGTTCGTCTTTTGTTTCCATGGATGATGTGATTTTTTTCCTTAATTTTGGTGTGTTGTTCTATTAAAAGCTTAATAACTCAAAATCTAGTAATTTTATCTGAATCAAACCTTATACCAACAAAAAGCTTATAAAAAATTGAATCCCAACTTGCACAAATATACAGGATGATGCATTTGAAATTTTTGAGAAAAAGTACAATTCGCGTTTTTGACAAATGAAAATTTGAAAAAGTAACAAATAAGATAGAAGCTGAGGTGTGTAGTTTTTTTTGATACAAAATTCAGCACTCCAAATTTCAATTGGTTTATTTATCCAAATATGCAATAAAATTTGAGGCGTTCCATTTAAAAAATCACAACTTTGATATGTAGGTCAAAATATAATTGCCAATATTTTAGAAATGTGCCCTCAAATGTCATGTATAACATGCCATAAATAGATTTTCCGAAAATGTATTTGTTTATGAGTAATATTCCGTCCACACATGGATGGGCCAC